TTTTAATAACGTCACGAAGCTCTGGGAAATCGCTAAGTTAAGTTCAAAATTAAATCAAATCCACAAGCTAAATTTGAGTTGCAAAGATACAAAGAACAAAGATATTCCCCACAAGGAATTAAAAGAGAGCTTTAATATAATTCGTGTTCAGAGCGTAATCATCAAAATGAAAACGAAGCAAATAAAACTAGGGGTATCTTCTGGCAAGTGCCAACGAGGCGAATTCGTTTATCTTTTGTGGAATGTGCCTATTCAGATCTTCCTTCATAATTTTAGAGGTTCAAAATGGATTCCGCTATAGAAAAGGATGGCACCAAACTTCAAAACAACAACTTTGGCACATTCTAGGCGTTCACTTTTATTAAACAATAACAACATAGCTTGAAGCTTTGTTGGTAAATATGAGCAAGTTAGCACTCATGTTTCATGGAAAATTCCATTGTATCAAAGCTATGAACGTTAGAAAGAAAAATATAGTTCAAATGAGACCTTTGACTGCTGAAATTAAAAACAATAATTAAATTCCGAGCAAAAGCGTCATCAGGGATAAGAAAAATATTTTGCGTGGTAATATACATAAGAAAAATTGGTGTAAACTAAAATGTGTGAAAAGCGCGCAAGAATGGGGTGGAATGTATTAGAGGTATAAAAATATAAACGTGAATGAAATACAAAGATCTAATGAGCGAGTGTCACAGGACAAAGGGTCTCTTGAAAGGCATAATGATAGTCTGAAAAACAAAAGGTCCTCAAATTCGTTGCATTCCTCACGGGAGTTATGGGCTGTCTCAATGTAAATCGAGCAGCAAAAAAACATGCTGGTTGACAAAATCTCTCGAAAAACATAATAAATTTTTGAAAAAAGGTCCGCAAATACGTTGCATTCTTCACTGGAGGTGAGGACTGGCTCAATGTAAATCGACCTGCGAAGAACACGCTGGTTCTGATATAAGTTTTGAGAATATAACCCTATGCCTTGATCAACTACCGCTTAAAATTCAGTTCACAAAGGTAAAGAGAACACTGAAAACCCTGGTTCTGAGTCGAGAAGCGAACACGCTACCTCAATATATTTCGAGCTGCAAAGAACAATCTAGTTCTGACAAAAATTTTAGCGTAAAACCCTATTCCTTGATCAGCTGCTGCTTTAAACACAATTTATAAAGCAAACCCGAGCACTAATTGCCCTTTCAAACTAGAAATCGTATTAAAGCTTGCTCACCAGTTAGGTCCTCTTGAACAGACAACGAACAGCTGCACACTGAATAGCCCAATCTTGAACCACGAGTTTTAAATATAAGACCACGACGTCACTACCCAAATATGGGCTCTTACTTACACCCAAATATGGTCAAAAATGCAAATTTTAGAGGGTTACGCAGAATTTGAGAGTTTTTGCCTACATTGCGCGGCGTTATAATTCTGCCCATACAGGACTTAATACAGGCATCTCCAGTTTCTCTATAAACCAGTTACATCCCTGGCTATCTCGCTATTATTCGTTTCGTTTGTTTCTCAACATTCTAATTCAAATGTCTAGTGAAATTGCTTTTTCGCTTTCGCTATTTCGCTGTTTCGCATAATTTGCAATATTCATCTTGCATTTATCCTGTAGTTCATTTCCCCCGTTTCGTTCAAACTTTAAACAATGTGAGTAGTCTCTCACTGACTTTTTGTCGAATAGGCCATTTTCGCGGCGACTAGATTTGACTACAACTAACATATTTCATTTCGTTTTTGCTTTCTTTTTAAAGCACTGTTTAAAATACAATAACTCTTGTTTGGACAGGAAAACAACAATAAAAAAAACTGAAGAATTCTGGTGGTTGTAGCCAGTAAAATGACGCCCTGGTGCAACTGTCATATATATTAACGTTGCGGGTATATATTAACGATTGCCTAGCCTTCAGGTCAGGTGCTATTTTTGTGCGTTTTCCCTGGCGAACGATCCACGAGACTGGTGTAAAACGCCGGAAAAGCGCGTTGAGGGAATGACGGAAGCAAATATTTTCATGCTCGCTCGCTTCGCGCTTGCCTTTGCCTGAAAAACGCGAAAACTAGCGCAAAAAAGAGAAAAAGCCCTTTGTTTAACGACGCAGAATTAAAGAAAAATTCTTACTAGTTGCTAAGTGTTGTTTACGAAGACTTTTTACGCATGTCCTTGACTGATACGGATTTATCTCTCTTAAAATGTAACTTCAGCGAAAAAAACTTTGATAAACTAATCATGTTTGTAAAGATCTTCCAAATTTCAACCGTCTAGGAAATGGGTTTCATTAAGTAAACTTTTCGAGTGTTCAAATTCATGTTTGACTTAACGGTGTTAACATACGCTCGTCAGTATCGTGAAAACACGCCACTCAATCGATCAAACTGCCATTTATAAAAGTTGTTTTAAAAGAGAACTTCACTCTTTCCTCTGGAATTCCTCGTCTCACTGACTTACCGGTAATTAACTTTATAGCCCGTCACTCACAACTTAAGGGAGGCGAAATGCAATCTTTTATGTGAAAATGTGATTTTTTTGGGATGAAAAATTAAAATAAAAAAAATTTAACTCAGACTTCGAAGGTAGCTTCGCTTTGGAATATAGCCTCGCTCAGAGGCAAACGCAAGAACCAAACTGGGAGCATTCAATTGGAAGCCACTCATATTAAAAAAGAAAATAGTGAGTCAGCTTTATACTTTATTTTACATAGGCAATACAAAGTTTTTCGTGAAATTCCTCTTATGAAGTGAATTTTAAGGCTTTTTTAGAAATACATGCAGTTTGTACTCGTGTTGCTTCTCTAGCAGGCCAAGAAGTAACAATTCTTTTTCCGGGGGTTTTTGAGCCACTGGAATGTTGTATAATTTGAGCTTTGTATTCCAAGCGGCGCGCCCGAAAGGTAAAGTTCATGAAACCCCAAAAAGGTTATATTTCCATTCATCAGTTCCACTATAGAATACCGGCGATCAATCGAACATCCCGAAAAGAGGTTGAAATTGCCAAGGAATCAGACTGTTGCCAAATTAGCTTTTTTAAAAAATAAGGAACGTTCACAAGTAGTTCAACGGTGGTGCATTGCAAAACAAGAGTAAAAGAAGGCGTCTAAACAGTCTTAAGAAATGCGGAAGGGATGGGACTGGGGGACCTTGCCACCTTACCCCGCCCCCCATCAATTATTTAGTTTTATAATTAATCGGATAAATCGTCTGCTTGGTCACCGCCAACCTTCTTTTTGAATTGTCTCATTCCTTAACTTATTTTCCGAGTGACCGTCAGCCATACAATCTTACGTTTGCGTAAGACACAGCCGTTCTTTAAAAATTCATAGTTTCTCGCACTTTCCCATTGGCAGGACGAATTTACATCTATTTATGCTAACACACAAGAGGCCTCTGCCTTAACTGCAGTACTCTTGTTTCCAGACCCCACGTCACATTTAACCAGCGGAATAATGCCCGTTCCGTTGCTGGATGAGGGAAATATAGGATCTCAGAAAGAAACTATAACTATAAAAAGTCTCTCTAAATTACCTTAAGCCTTTTTTCAAAGTGAATCTTTAAGAGTATTGTTTTATATCAAAGTAAGTTTCAACTCGTACGCAATGTATAAAGTCAATTGCACAGTCCTTGCTTGATGACGTCCTCTTTTTACTACTAAGACGAGAATTCATTTCGTTTTTTCTTTCATAATTAAATTTGGTAATCCCGTGAGGTTTAGATAACAAAAGCAATAATTTTCACAAGAAAACAAGCCCTTGAAGGATTCTGGTAGTGATAGTAGTAAAACTGACGCCGTCGTGCAAATGGCCTGTTACAGGGCTCGAAAAAATTAGGGCCAATGAAGATGGCGGATCTCTTGCATTTTTGAAGTCAAACCTTATATAAAGTTGCTACGTAGTGTAGTTTAAACGTTGGAAAGTATACAAAACAGCGAACCTCATCTGGCTTTCCCTGAACTTTTCACCGGTGGCTAGTTGGTTGTTTAAGCCCATCAATAGACTACTAAAGTAATGACGTCATAAAAATGAAATTTCTGAAATTATGGGATTTGTCAGGATATTCTAAAAGAACAATGTCCAAGAGGCCTACTTACCAAAAATGAGCATTTTGCGGCAAATTGTCGCTGAGATGTTAGCCAGTTATACTCGGAAAACTCCATACAAACCCGTCTAATTTTTTTTGGGGTCGATCCCAAAAAATCTAGAAGGGTTTGTATGGAGGTTTCTAAGCATAACTGGGCTACGACAATTTGCCCCGAAATGCTCATTTTCGGCAAGTGGGCCTCATGGACATTGTTCTTTCAGAATATCCTGACAAATCCCATACTTTCAGAAATGTCTTTTTTATGACGTCACACTTTAGTACCCTATAGGGAGCTGAACAAAAACGTTTTTGAGCGACGCACGTCAACCGGAACTGGACTATTTTCATTCTTGGGCGGCCTGTGGTTTTGCCCAAAATTTAGGGCAGATTGTCTCTATAAGAGTAAAGACACGTAGTAATACAAATGTGGCAAACTCAAGCATATTGAAAGGGGAAAGCTGGTTTCCGATTGAGTTGCGTCGCTCAAAAAGCATACGTTCCAAATATATCAAATCATTTACAACCTAAACTTTCAGACAGTGCTTTCCTGAATTCTGCGTTATAGAATCCATATATGAAAGGATTTAGGGCACTATTACAATACAACAGAATGATCGATGAATGCCTGATAAGTTCGGGTACGTTGAACATAGAGTCGATTAAAAGGATGACGACAAAAGGAGTCCAAGAAATGAGGAATGCGCATGTCACAATAAGAAACGTTTTAAAGATCCTTATCTCCCGTCTTATTCTTGTCTTTGAGGGCATTTGTTTGCTTCTCGTTGCTGGTCCACAACTTGCAACAGGGCCTTCTGACAGTGTACTAAGCGAAAACTCTTGAGCATGAATTTTGTTGAGATGAGTACGAGCAATGAACAAGACTTTGCCATTCGCAAAAACAAGGAAAGACACTGGCAGGGCATATCCTGCTACGAGCAGAGCGATAGAGTACTCGTAATGTAAACCCCAAATCGAACAATTTTTGCTGTTGTTTTTGGAAGCGTTCGTACCATAAATTATAAAGCTGGCCAAAATCAATGCCGCGCACCAAGCGATCCCAATGATTTGCTTAACTCTGCGCTCGTTCATGCGTGACATGTACTTCAGTGGTGACGTCACAGCAATATAACGGTCACCGCTGACCACGCACAGGTTAAAAATGGAGGCGCTGCACAAAAGAAAGTTTAGGAACAACCAGAGGTTACAGAAGAAACTGCCAAAAATCCATCGACCTACAAAAATAGTTAAAAAAAGAATTGGTCAAGCTTATTATTTTTACGATAGTCTAATCAGATTTATTGTTAAATGTACACCGGGCTGTGAGTCCTGAAACCCTTTCTAAAAGGTTTGAACCACGGAAGTAAAATTTAACTCGAACCCCCGCCATTGACGCAGCCAAAATGGTAGCCATCAAAAATGTGTATAAAAACCCTTGAATGCAGAGGCCCACTCCATGCGTAAATATAACCGACTGGTTCTTTCTTGCCGGATCTCTAATGGTAGAAGTCACTTGAAGTGGGAATTAAAGCAAAACTGAATGCAAGGCTGGCAATACGATAAAGGGCTGAACCTATCAATCACTTCATTGTATATTTTTTTACCTATCCATCAAGCTATCTATTGTTCTCATTTTTAGTTTATCATTAACCTTTCACGTAAATTTAAATTCAAATTTTTGGTGCCGTTATAGTATTCTTTTTCAGTGTAACTCTGGCACTGTGGAAGGCTAATTTTGTTAGCTGAAATATTGGCCTCAAATAAATCAGTCGTTAGTTTTACCCAAAAGTCCGGTCATTAGATTTTCTTATGAATTGGCACACATCTAACAATAAGAACCCAACACGTTTTAAAAACAAATTTACCAAATTGTAACAATCAGTTTTTGAACTTTTTTAATAAAATAGCTTTCATGAGAAACTTGTTTGTATCAGAAAACTTCTTTGTTCAAAATTAGTTCTTCATTGACTGAAGAAGGATATGAACAGGACTTTTGCCAAATTTCGTCAAATTTTAATGAGTAGATTTTAAGATACTGCCGTTTGTTTATATGGCCTAAGAAAGTCAACAATCCAGGTTGCTCCCTTAGTACGCATGCTCAGCACCTATGTGCGCGATAAAATCACCTGATATGTAAGAGGCGACCAAAACAGAATGCAATTTACTGACAACTTCTGGGCATTTTTCTATTTCTCAGTACCACCTGTATTATCTTAAAAAGCTTATTGGCCGCATATCTCCTCGGGATAGGGGGATATTAAAAGCAATTCTAGAAAAACTATGTTCAGCCACCGTAACCACGAAATATAATTATGTATTTTGCTGCATTTTGCATGTTTTGTGAAGAAAAAAGGATGAAAATGGCAGAAACGTGTATTGCATATTGCGACAAGAGTCGTAACCGTGGAACCATCGTGTAAACAAGTTTTTCTTGATCGTTTGTAAGCTCTCTCCTTCGCAGAGGCTCCCGTTGGGTATCCCAATAAAAATAGCAATGATCGAAAAGCAGAAGGCGCGCGAGGGGCGATGGGAAGAGGGAAAAAGCCCCGTCCCTTTCTTTGCTCTTCCCATCGCCTCTAGCGCGCTTTCTTTTTCTTTCTCCCCAGCCTCCCTACCAAACAAACAGGCCTCTGTGGAGGAGAGAGTTTCCAAGGAATACAAAAATATTTCTTAAGAGAAGGAAAGAAAATCGAATAAAAACATTTTGGTTGGGAATCCCTGTCCCTCACGACGGCCAAGCTTTTAGAGGCGATCATATTTGTTACCTGTTGTTTGGAAGGTCATGTGATATGCTAGGCCCATTGGGATGACCAATACTCCCATAAGGAAATCAGAAAACGACATGCTGACAACAAAATAGAAGGACGGTATACGCATGCGTCGACAAACCCAGAAAAGACGACAGACCACAAGGTTGCCAGTTGTTGTCATCAAAACGAGGACAATGAGAAACACGGCGATGAAAACTGGCATGGCAGCCCAATGAGTTTCTTTTGTCGCTTCACCGTCGAAGATCGTTGAGTTGAAATTTTCTTTCGTTCCATTTTCAGACTTCGGCTGCCTTTCCATCGTATTGGTTCATCTGAGGTGGTCTGCGTGAGAAACAGAAAAAATTTTACGACCTCCTCCACCTCCCTCTAAGGTAAAGTTTTTGTTGCGGCATGATATTTGGAAATAATATTAAAAAAGTGTCCACCAAGATTACATAAATATTACGAAGCATGGCAGTGTGAGGGATCTATGACGTCAACCAAAACGTAATTATAAAATATAATGTCACAGAAAGGAACAACCTGTTTCTTTATTTTAGTTTTCTACCATTTGTTTAGACTTGAATTTTCAGCTGAATGTAAGTTGACGCCAAGCTGGCGGCCGTTTTGATTGACGTTTCAGATCCCGAGCACTGCCATATCCCTTAACATTTATATGATATTGAAGAACTCTTCTTAATTTTCTTAACTCAAGAAGGTGCAGCATAGGGTTGTCATCAATAAATTACAGCATAAAAAGCAGTCATTTACCATGAATTAAACAAAACTTGAGTTTTTTCTGAATATGAATTTTCAGTTAAATGCAAGATAAGGTCAAGATGGCAGCCGTTTTAGCTGACCTCACAGATTCCCCACACTTCCGTACAGTTCCATCGCAAATTAAAACCATGTCAATTTCTCGCAAACAGGGCAACCTTACGCCTATAGAGAAGAAAGTATGGCAAACAATAATCGTTTCGGAGAAAATCCTTGAAACTCTCCCCAGCAAGTAATAATTTGTCAACTGAATTGAGATACGTGTTATTCAACATTGAATTGAGCCATTTGGGTAAAAGGCCGCTCCGACCCCGCAGTGACATATCCGACAACAAATTATTGTGTTGTTGTATTGATCGTTCGTTTTCATGACTTAATTTCCTAGTTGAGTTCCCCTTAGGGGGGGTTCGTTTCTATTCTTTATTAGTTTTAAGTATTAATTTCCAGTAGGCATCGATCATGATAAAAATAGTGTATAATAAAACAAAACGTTCATATAAACAGGAAACGTGACTCGTGAATTATTATAAAAATTACCGATCGCGTGTGCGAAAGAAAGTTCTTGATAGAACTATAAATATAAACGATAGAAAAATTCTACGATCTCTACATTTGTAAAACACACCAAACGCTGATTAAATGTTCAACAAAATTCGTTTGTAAAAAACTTGAGAAGCAGGTTACTAATTTAATGTTTACGGCCTGGCCGGGCAAATGACAAAATCCCTTATTTAAAAACCAACAGCCTCTTTGCTTAGTACCCTTGAGAGGAACAACAGTTTAACTTTTCCATCAATTTTGGTTAAGTTTCGGATAAATTTAATAACGATCTGGACGAAACCTATAACCGAGTTTTATTTTTGTCATTTGTTTGTTTGTTTTTTAATAAAATTGATCGAAGGTTAATTAACATATAATTTGCATTGTATTTTTCGCTACAGCACACAGCGACGAAAGTCAGAAAAGGTAAAAAAGAACAACGTAACAAAATCTGGTGCCTGCTCCTCCTTATCCCATTCCCCACTAGTTTCTTCATTATGATTTTATTTGTTTTTTTAAAAAAATTGGTACGTCGATGTTATTGTAAACACGGTGTACCTGTTTCTTACAGTTCATGAAAACGGATCTGCATGGTTTACCTGGAGCTGGTCGTTCAAAAGCGCGCCATCCGAAGAATAAATATCTCTATCCATTAATTAAAGCATTCAATTAATTTCCCTAGGTCTTAACATACTGATTTTTTTTTCCAAAGGATACCACTATGCAACGCTTTTACAATGCATTTTTAATTTTCTCTTGCTCTCTCTGACTTTTTTCATCCATTGAGATCCGGGGGGTAATCCCTTATATGAAAGGGTATGGGTTTTGACCTCTCTGTCCCTAAACAGGGTATATTTGATTTCCGAGATGAATTTTGTATACAAAAGCAATTACTATAACGTGAATTTGCTCTTTTGCAATTGTTAATAAATGGCTTTAAAACAAGACGGCGTGGTATTGTCCTTTGTCCTAAACAGGATAATAAAATTGAGGGTGTTGTCTTAAACAGGGTATGTATTTTATGATTTTTTTTGTCCTAAACAGGGTCAGGCTCACTCCTGGGCTCACCTATACCCAAATATTGGTCGAGTCCCCCCCCCCCCTTTCCTCCGGGATTTTCGTATTCGCTTAGGAAGTGCCTCAGTATCAATGGAAAAATCAAGACTCTTATAGACTCTTATCCATCGTCTAACTTTCTTGTCACGAGCAACACCGGTTCGATTTAGCAATTTCTTCCGGCCATTTGTACAATCAGCGCATTATTTAAAAAAGAACACCTCAGTACAAAGGTTTTTTTATAGCGCGGTTGTACCTTCCGTTTTGCCAAAGCACTGATCAGTCCAACTTGTCGAGTCATTGAACGGCACGTGTGTCCGGAGGCACGTGTAGCTAGCTCGTGCCAAAGACAAAGGGCATTGCAATTTGACTTCTCCTGAATATGAGGCTAAGTCCCCGTCGACGCATATCCAGGTATTTTTGTAACGGAGTTTTGCCTCCGTCTCTGTCTTCCGTCCACAAGTAAACTAAAACGGATATTTCGGGCAAAAAAACCAGAGGTTTTCGCAAAACACTACCCGGTGGGGACAGTTTGAAAACGCCGGCTTATCGTTTTCGTGTCGAGTGACGAAATACGAATGAAATTTGAATAATGTACGATGATGTCCTACATCATACGGCCCATGCTCTACATTCAACATTTTAGTGTAGATGGGAGAAACTCGCTACGTGTTTACTAGTTTTTTTTTCTTTATTTGTTTGTTTTTTTTTTAATTTCAAAAAACGAATGAAAAACAAATCTCCTCATTAAAAAATATCCAGATACGTGTGGACGAGGAGGAAATGTGCACATAAAGAATATTATGTTATATCTAGGAAAGACTTAGGCACCTGTTTCATCCGTCGTTAAAGGAAAAATATAACAATGACGATAAGTATTTCAATGGCTGATCTTAACGCCCTGGAATATTCATTCTGGAGTTGAAGTGCTTCATAGTTTAAGATAGGCAAATACAGATATTCGAAAGCTGTGTGTTTGTAAGATACCAAATACAAATAAAGAAAATCAAGGAGGGTTTAAGCTAATAAATAAAAATCAGTGAAGTTGGTCTGTGATAACCTTTTCCAAATGCAAACCATTTACCATATTATATGTCATCGACTAATCGCATACAATATACCTTTTATGATATTGTCAGCTGTTGTGACTTCTCTTTCCAAGGAAAGGTCTTGATTTAATCATTATTTTTCAAGTGACGATGTTTGGAAAAGCCGGATTCACAGTAAGAAAAACCGACATTGTTATAGTGTGGATATTCACTTGCTTTTCATGAAGCGTTTATTCCTAACGCCTTCAGGATTATCTGTTGTCAGATTGCTACACCAGTTGATTATGTTATTTATTCAGTACCAATATCCAGTTTTGGCACCGACACAAACCTTTCATCACTCCAGTCACCCAAAAAAAAATGAATGCGGGACCTGTAAAGTACAAGGATATTCATGGCTTTTGATCAAGTACTATAAAATAACTATAAATTTATTTTTCCGAAGTTTTAGCAATATTGGATCAAACGGTTTGTTTTTGTGTTTTTACCCGTCATAATATGGCATATCGTTTGATCATTTTTTTTTCTCGCAGACGGTATTTGATAACCTAATGCACTAAAGCGAGTTGATAACCGTTATTTATTTTTCAAGACACCATCCGCTATCTATGGCGGTGTATATTTGCTCCAATTAAATTTCCCTTTCACGGAAACAATTAACATGAAATCTCTACTAACAGGAAAAACTCCACAGAAGCTTTAATTACGTTTTCCCACCGTCACTCAATGATACGGCCGTGCCTAATGTATCCGTTAATAGAAATGGTGATAATTATGGATTTTCCCCAAATTTTGTTTATGTACATTTTTGCCGCTTTTAAGAAGGTCTTTTCAACACTACCTCTGTTTTTATTCACGATCACACGAAAAACTTTGTCCTTCAAAATTGTATATTTTTGCTTAAGAGTTAAGTTAATTAATGAAAAAAGTAAGTTCTGATCACAAAGCACTGAGAATCAAAAAGGACATATCGGCTCCCACACTGAGAATTGTAGAGTAAATAAAATGAATTGGTTCGTTTGAGCAACTAAAAATAATCACGTTTGATAAAACGAAACCTCATGGTGATCGTTTCTAACCCAACGTGTGTTGAAAGGAAAATTCTGTCCAAGGAATACGTTTTTTACTCGTGCCATTATTTACCTAGTGCGATACGAATCTGAACCACTTTTCAGTTTGTCACGATAGCAGCTTAGAGCTTTATTTTACTGGCCATACTCTAAGAAATACAGCAGTAAAAGCTTAATATTGAAAATATTTTCTTAAGCTTTACTTCTTTGTCATCCACTTAGAGTTTAAGACAGAAAAAAGGGTAATTCAGATTTTCGTAGGGCACAACGGCAACGTTAAATGGACGTTTTCCGCATTTCAAATTGATTAATCGGGAGAAAAATGCAATGGAACCGTGAACTGGCACTCTAGACGGTGAATTATAAAAGCAAATGAAAATCCACTTTTCATTTTAACCAAACTGGAAATCCGATAATATTTAAAGAACTAGGTATTTAGGCTTATTATAAGAAAACAAGAGCAATTCTTACCTATAAACTTCAATTAGGGCTTTAGCATGTTTAGCGCGTAGCTGCTTTTGTGTACAATGGGCCTGATAAAATGAAGTTGTTGTCACCGGACTGCTGGCTTATGTGATCAAACTAAAAGTCTGCACTGCAAGATAACGAGGTTGGTTTAATAACGAAAGTTGCCATTAATACCACGTGATCATAAGCGAAAGTCACGTGAAGTGACAAGAAATGCAAATACCTAAATTTGGGAGTTATCCATAATTATCAAGGATAATTCCACGTGATAAGCACAATAGGTGAGAGTAACATATACTAGAATTACAGGTGAATAAATCTAATCCCATGCGGAATGGCTACCAGGATCGTTTTGTTTGCTCTCTTAGGAGAAAGGTGACATCAAATGCACCTTGTAGTCAATATTCTTTGTGGGATTCGATGAATCAGAACAACCCAAATTTGGAAGGGAAATATCAGTTAATAACATCCGGCACTTCAAATTAAAATTTAATTTCACATCCATCAAGGTGTTGGGGTTGCTTCAACTGTTCATGGCTGTGTTGCAAAGAAATATTTTGTGTCAATTAAACATTGCGATTTGCCCTGCATTCTGTGGCAATGCTCTGTTGAAAATAGAGCCTCTGTGGAGTGTGCAACGAGGACTTATTATCTCGACTTTCTTCATTTCGCGCTCAGCGAGGGAGAGCTGACTTTTTCATTAAAAATTTGAATCGGATGTT